TCTGGAGTGGTACACGGCGTGGGTGAGCACGGCCTACGTGGAGCCGCTCAGTAACCGCACGGTGAGCGGCAACACGGAGAGCGGCCGCTACGGGGACAGCTCGCCCAAGGAGAGCGCTGAGGGCCATGTGGGCATTCCCCGCGGCGCCTCGCCCCGCCACATGGAGGGCTGCGCCGCCGACACCGACTACGACGTGCCGCTGCCTCCCGGTGGCCGCGGGTCCCCCGAGGGCGACCCGCCGACTTGGATCGCCCTGGTGGCCCGCGGCGGCTGCACCTTCAAGGACAAGGTCACCAACGCGGCGCGGAAGCGGGCGGCCGCTGTGGTCATCTACAACGAGGCCCGCTTCGGCAACAGCACCGTCTCCATGTCCCACGTGGGTGAGCTCCCCGCGCTCGCCGAGGGGTCGGGGGGATGCTTTCGGGGGTTCACTTTGTCTAACGCCGGGCCGCATCGGGGATGCGGCTCTGCGCGGTGAGGAATGGGGATGGGGGGAGGCAGAAATTCCTGTAAAAATGGTACAGAAACCGGGATTTTGTTTTCTCTTCCTGTAAGCCACGCTAGGGAAAAAGCCGGGACCGTCTTCTGTCTCCCAAGTTAGGGGCCGGGCGTCAGGTAGGAAATGTGGCACCGCTATCGGGACCGGCAGCCATGTGGCAGGCTGGGATGGGAGGCTTGGATTTCCTTTAGGGATACCTTTTTGTCTGGTACCCTCTGGCAGAATGGCTACAGCGGTCACAGGTAGGCCGCTTTCTGCAGGCCGTGTGGAAACGCACCAGGTATCCCGAAGATGCCTTCAGGTGCTTTTGAACGTACAGCTGTAGCTATTTGAAGATAGCTTTTGGTACAGGCTTTGTTGTAATAGCTTCATCGTCCTCTCCTGCGCAGGTCTGTTTAGAGAGAGGTGTAACCATCAGGTAATCCTTCAACGCTTGCAAATGCAGTAAGAAAACTGAATCCTGGAGAAGGATGTTGGCTTGTCTCAGCTTATTGCTGAGCCTGTGTAGCCTGCAGAAGAGTTCTGTGATTTATGCCGAGATAGGAATCCAGATGTTCTGTCACCACAGTCCCCGCTTGGGCTATGACACAAAAGACTTGCTGAATTTTTATGGTTATGACAGTACTAAATGTTTAAATCAAAGAGGCAAAAAAACACCTCAAAACTTGGCAGTAAAATCTGTTTGCTTTTGTAGATTTTTGAGAAACTGGAAGGTCCTCAGAGGAGGATGTGAAAATAAGGCAAACTAAGTAAATTCTGTAGATGTGTGAATTCACATGGTTTTGCTACAATGAGTTTATTAGTGCCTGGGCTCTCATTCCTGATTGTGAGGAGGGGAAGGACCAGGGACTTGGATGAAGTAAAACCATAATGTGTTTCTAAAGGAAACAAACTCATTTTCTTAGTGTAGTGAGCTAAAAATCTTAGCTAGGGAGCTGTTGCTCTATTGCACATGTTATTTATCTATTGGAAAATGCATCTCTCCTCTTGAAATACCCAGTGGCACCAATTGAGGGATTTGAATCATGATTACTGTTTTTAACCTGCTGCTTGCTTGAGATCAGCCTGGCCCATTTCATATTCTTAGTTCACTGTGAAAGTGGAGGTGAGATGCTAGATTAAATGAACCTTTGGTTTTGATCCTAGGTAGTGATTAAGATACTTTGTTGTGAAATACTGCTTTCATCTGAAATAGTTTTTTTCTTGCTTTCACCCTGTATTGGCCAATCACTACAATTCTTTTTTCCACATTCTTCTCCATTACCCATTGTAATCTCTCATAAGTATTATTTGCTCTTTTGTTGGTTCTTTTTCTCCTTCTCTCATCTTGCTTATTTTATATATTTTTTTATAAAAAATCTCTTTTCTGCTGTCATCTTTGTGCTATAGAAGACCTTCTTGGGCTTAATACTCAGTTTTGGACTTCACTAGTATAGTTATATCTGCCAGTGGCCTAAAGAGAAGTGCTCTCTGACTGCTGGTTGGGTTTTTTTTCCTTGAACTGGCAGAATGTTGCTGACGAACGTTCCACCTATGTAGAGACTGTGATTTAGTATAGTGCATATATACAGTAATACATTTGTATTTATACTGACTTCATAAATGCAAGTTTGACCTTACAATTGTTTGAATGGAATTATAATAATATATCACAATATAATTACAAGCTCTGATGTAGTCATAAATGTTTGCTTCACGGTTGACACTTTCAGACATATAAATGGTCAAATATTTCAGTGCACTTTGGGAATAAAGGGAAGAGGTACTGTTAGTGTTTTAAATCTTGGGCTTTTTGAAGGGACATGATAGAAAGGTCTATGGAAGACTGGCAAGGAAGAATATGGGAGGGAAAAGTATAGTTTACAGGATCTACATTTTCATTTCTGTGGAGGGATTTGTGAACTGGCACATAAGGAAGCAAGCTTTCCTTCTGGGAGGAGTGCTGAGGATAAATACTCTGGGAAATCTGCAGTGCAGTAACTAAGGAGTGGAGTTATATGCATAAGTAAAATCTGCTTAATGCGTTTCCAATTAGTGGCACTGAAAATGATGTGAGATGGAGCAGTGGTTATGGCTGGTGGAGATGCCCAAATTATGTGAAGGTGATAGACAGCTTCTGTGATCTCAGTGCCATCTTTTCATTCTCCTCTTGGAAAACGTAGCCCTTTAATTTTCTGGGATGTATGTGATACATGTGTGCTATTTTTTTTGTGGTCTTTTTGTGTTTTTAAGGCATGTTTAAGTCTAAGTAAAAAGAGAAGTTCTTGATTAGCTGAAACAATTATTTGTTATAGCTGGTGTCAAAGCATTTAAAAAAGGACAAATGTTCTAAATAATATGTATTTTTCACCTTGTAAGCTTCATGAGTGCAGTGAGTAGGGATTTTAACTAAAGTTTTGGAGCAAGAGAGTTGAGAATTTCAGTGTGTAGCCTTGAAATCCTGTCCCTTTTTCCAAAAGAAGGTTCTGCAAATGTGGCTCTGCTGATATGTCTCATTTCAAGCCTTTGCTCTCTGTCCAAATTACATTGTTCAAAATGCTGGGTGACTTCTCAAGGAAAGCAATAGTGACACAGCTTCATGTGTGACTGAGAAAATTTTTCCATTGGAAACCTCTCTTTACCCAAATGACTTGGGGAGCTGTACTTCATTTACTCAGTCTGAATGACATAAATTCAGGCTTCAGTTGTACAGACTTGGCAGGCAGTCCTAACTCTGTTCTTTTTTGGTGGTGATGGTGAACTTAATACAATAGAGAAGCTTCAAATTGCTTTCCAAAACCAGAATAAATATTGCATGTAAATATTAGGTGGGAGTGGGTTGGAGAAGAATCTGGAGAGGCAAAGTCTAGAGTGTTGTGCAGACCAGACTAAGGAGAGTCAGAAGCTCAATTCTGGTTCAGAAGTTACAGGGAGGCAGAGGTACATTGCAGTAGAAAGAAAACAGGGTCTTCTGGTTCTACAGATTTCTTGTTATATACTTTATGCTGGGCACCCAACCATCTCTGTATCCCCCCACCCCCCTGCCCCAGCTAGGATTCGGTGATCCTGATCAGAACATAAGTTGTCTTGTTGTAGACTATGGGATGAAATGCGGTTGTGCTTGACATGCAGGGCTGAGAGGCACTGACTGTAATAGTTTGAGGTAGGTCTGGACTAGGGCTTTAATTCATGGTTTGTGGATTTAAGGGAAGCTTGGGACTTAATTTGAGTGTATGACTTTGGCTGCATAATGAAAATGGTCTTTGATTTGCCAACATACATCCAACTAGTTCTTTCCTCCATTGTCATATTTTTTTAATGCACGTGTATTGAACAAAACAGATGCAAATTACTTTGTGCTCATGATTCTGTAAGTTCTTGCCATCTCCAAAGCAGAAGAGTTAGAGTTATTTTAGTATATAGTTCAGCTCTTTGCTACATTGCTTGCAGCACTACTCAGGATTCTCAAATGGTGCATAATTTCTGTATTACTATTGTTTTGTACTGAAAGTTTCTGGTACTGTAAGTATGGACAGGACAGTGTCTTGCTTAAGTAAGGCATGACTGTATGATGTTGAGCTGGTAATGCTGTTCTGAAGAAGCAGGAGTAACTGCATATATCTGCCTTATAGAGAAAAGTGCATTTGTATTGGAAGTCAGGTGGATAGAGTATGTGTACCAGTGGTTATATATTCTTGAGGCAGATGAAAATACAGCATGCACCAGGGATTAGGTGAGATGAGGTTGAGGTAGACGGTTAAGGCAAAGCTTGTTATGGGATTGTTAGCATACTGTTAACATTTGTTTGGAACAGGAGCTAAAAAGAATATTTCGTGTTAGTTGTGGCAATATTGGTAGGGTGCCTACGTTTAAATAAACCAATGGACTGACCTTAAACATTTTTATGATGATGGTTGAACTCTAGGAGCTTTCTGACATTTCTCAGGAAGACAAAAACTAGAGTGTGTCTGTTATCAGTTTCCGGTTGACAGAAAAATATCTTCTTCGTCTCTAAGCATGAATGGGAATAAATGTTGTAGTTTGCAGTGCCTGGAGCCAAGATCTGTACCTATCCTACTTTTTCCTCATCAGTAGAGTGCTGATTTCCTTTTGCAAGAAAATACTGGTAGCTGTAAAACTATCTGCACTGGCAGGAAACATACCTTCGCTTTCAGAGGTCCAAATTTGCCCTTTTTTGCCAGTATCCTAAGGATCTGCCAGCCCTGACAACGTTAAAAAGCACAGATCTAATTTTAAGTGGACCAGATTTCACTGAAACACCAATCAAACCTAGAAATTTTTTTTTTTACTCTAGCACAGTAAAAATGTGATTATTTATTGTAAAACTAGAAGGTTATAGAAAGGCAAAGCCAATACAACATGCTTTCAGTAGATGCATATATGTGACACTAGGAGTTTTCTTTATAAATGTGATTTGAGGTGTCTGAGTTGTGTGGCAGTTGAAAAAGCTGATGGAATGACTCATCATCATTTCAGTCTTTGAATAATGAGTTTCAGAACAGCAGGCTAAAATTAGCAAGGAATGAGTTAAAACCCTTAGTGTTACAGGCTGCTCAGGGCAACTGCTTCTCTGAGACTGCTCTTGTTCCTTTTGTAATCATGGATTGCAATTATTCTCTTCTCCCCCTTCTGTCTCATGACCTTCAAGGCCACAGTGTTTAGTTGTCTGTATTTTTTATGGGAAGTTCATCACAAAATCTTTAAAACTGTTAAAATGCTTTTAATGGGTATTTATTTAAAGCATACATATGGCATGCTTATGTTACTTCTAAAAGTGGAAGGTGTCACGCTGTCTAGCAGCCTAATTTCAGGGAAATAACTGTCTGATAGTTGGGCATGTTGGTGACAAAGCAGAGAGGGACAGTAGTTACTGTTACGGGGGTTTTAAAATACTTCATTATTAGAAATAGTGCAGAGAATCGGATAGCAGGATGAAATTAAGATTTCAGGACCCAGGTGGAAATTTACTGATTGAATAATCCAGGCTGCCTCTAATCTTGAAACTTCCTTCCTTAAGCTTGGATGAAACCACATAAATCTTTCCAACACATTTGTACCATTCCCTGGCCTTCCTTAGGCACTCCTCTTGTTATTTGTAACTCTTAAAACTGATTAAAGACACAGGACCTAATTCCTGATTTAGGTATGGGGATAGCAGTTTTTAGCTATGTAAGATAAATTCCTACTTTCTTTTTCTTACTTTGTCTTTTTCTTGCTAACTCTCTGTGGAGTTGCACAGGGTCAGAGAGCAGAGAGTGTTTCACACTCTTCTCTGAGTTTTATGATGCTCTCTGGTAGTGCTTTTGTTCTGTTTCAGAGAGAAGAACAATATTAATTAACCAATTTATAGTATGCTTGGACTTGGGGTATCATGTAGATCAACACATTGTTGGTGAGCAGAGCTAATTAGTGGAGCCTGGATGCTTGTTGTCTTTCTGTTTTCAGCTTCACTGCTTTGTGTCTCCAAACACCCACCAAGCAAGGCAACATAGGTGGGATGGGTATTCCTTGTGAGCATAGTGGGATGCCTGAGGGGAGGCACAAGTTAGTGTAACCCTTTTAGGAAAACCCACTTTTTTTCTGGGTTTGGATCTGGCAATACAGGTGTAATGGTTCTTCGAGTAGGTGACCAGAGGTGGGATAGTTGTGTTAAGGTGAAGTTGAGAAGGGAGATTTATTCAGCTAATGCAACTTCTGCAAATTCCCCTTGGCTTGGTAGCAGAGTGGACAGATTGAAAAGCTGTCACAGCCAAAATTGTCTCAACTAAAGGAATTTGGTTTAAATAGTTCAGGCAAATAACTGTCTTAGGAGGTAGAGGTGGCTGAGACCAGAATACAGCTTTGAATTTTGAAAATCCCCATTTGATGTGATATTATAAATAAGGAAGCCATTTCTTCTGACATTGCTTCTCTGTAAGGAATCTAACACAGCCAGAAGGAAAAAAAGGCTTTAAGCCTTCTGGGGGAGGTCTTGTGGTAGGTAGGTAGGTAGTCTTTTGTGAATCTAAGAAAAGTAGCTGTAACATTATAGCTTTAGATTTTCAGCTAGGAAAACCCCTCTCTTTTCCTTCCTTTCTCTCTGAATCAAGGCTAGTTTCACTTTTTCTCAGAGGTAGGAGAGCAAAGTAAACTATGAAGCTGTGACTTACCAAGGTGGCAGCAGTGTTGGTACACACAAAGTAAGAACTATTCAAATAGAAATAGCATAGAACAGTGAAAATGCAATATTTTTAATAGGTACATTTGTTTGTAATTTATTTTGTAATACTTGGCTTAGGTATTTCTGAGAATACTGGATAGTCTTCCAGAAAAAAAATGGAGCAAAACACTAGTCACAGGGGTCTTTGGAAGTTGCTAGCTGGTCTTGATAGTGTCTTACTGGTTTTGGTGGCAATATGTTGCCTAAAGGTTTAGTTGGTTTTTTTTAAATTAGGTTTCCTTCATACGGATTGAGAGCTCTAGACTTCTAATATATTAGAAAAATCCTTTTGTTCGCTGCTCACAAAAGAGTCACAAAGTATTTCTTGACAAGCCCTTGTCATGAAATCTCATTACATTTTGAATATTTAGTAGTGAAGAACCTGTAAGTATTTTAATGTTTAAAATAATTATTTAATTATTAAATATCTGAATCTTTTTCTCCTTTGTTTACATATCCAGTGTAATTGGACTATAGATTCAGATTCAAAGTAAATTGAAGTGTCTTTCTTTGATGTTCACATACTGTCTCCATCTGTAACTTAAATTCCCATGCTGACAAACAAAAGACCAGCTACAAGCTAGAACTTAAACTTCTTTGACATGAGTTGTGTATGACTTGTCTGGCTTTTTTGCATGGATCAACATCTTGCCTCGCTGTGGAATGTCGACTGTAGGCCTAGAACAGTAAAGATGTGTCTGTTGAACTTTATCTAATGTTTGAGAGTTTTTGAAAGTAAATAAAGAATTCTTTACCAGTGAACTTTCTATCAATTCTGTTATGCCTGAAAAAAAGTACTGGAGGCATTCCTGTAACTTTGCTTGCTGATCTTAACTGAAGAGGCCAAATTACCCTCAAGCAAGAATGACCTACATTTTTACTGTGACTACTGACTTTTTTCTTTTTTTATTCCCTCCAACAGGAACAGGAAATACAGTGGTGATAATGGTTGGCTACCCAAAAGGAATAGAGATATTGGAGCCAGTACGAAGAGGGATTCCAGTAACAATGAGTATTGTTGTTGGCACACGACATGTGCAAGAATACATTAGTGGTCAATCAGTTGTGTTTGTAGCCATTGCCTTCATCACCATGATGATTATATCGCTTGCTTGGCTCATATTTTACTATATACAGCGTTTCCTGTATACGGGATCACAGTTTGGAAACCAGGTAAATGGAGCTAATGGCACTTAAGAGTACTTACCTCCTTCTCATGTCAAATCAGTTGCCTAACTTTGATTGTTTATTGAAACATTCTTGAAGATCTGTGCCTTCTTCCTATTTTGCTAACTGTGAATGCTGCTCGCTGCTCAGCAGCAGTCAGTGAGGCTAATAAGCACTATGCTAATTGGCATTGCAGGTTTGACTAGTTATAATTATTAGATGCTCATATGAAGTAATGAGAAATACATTTAGCCACTTGTCAACAACAAAGTAAGGGCAGCTTCTTATGTGATCTGTCACCTAACTAAACTTCCTTCCTTTTGACATGAAAAGTTATTTTTGTTCTTCAGTAATTTTCATTTTGAAAGTGTTAACTTCACTAACCAGACTTTCTTAATGGGAAGTGACCATGGTATGTTTGGGGTATTTTTATTTTCTTATAAAAACCAAAAGTTCTTCAGGGCAGAATTTTTAGTTCTAAAGCCTTATAAAAACTACTTTTGCTACTTGTAATTCTACAAGTCCACTATAGAATTACAGCAGATATTAAGGTGCATGTGTGGTGAGATTCAGCTCTCTTGAGCTATTCAAGGTACTGAGGAGATTTGGAAGGAGTAATTTTGCTCCTTATTTGCCCTTTTCACATTTCTGTACTTAAAAGAAAAAAAAAAGTCAGCTTTACTTTTTTCCCCTGAGGAAAGTACTTCATCATAGAACAGTTTAGGCTGGAAGGGACCTCCGGACTCCTGCAATCAAGAGAGCAACTTACATGGAGTTGTTGAGGAAGTAAGTCCATCTGAGTTTTGAAAATACCTTAGAATGGAATTTACCTCTGCTTTTCAGCTATTGCAAATAGGTTATGCTTCTTCCATGATCATCAGCAGCTCTACCGTTTGAAGGTTCTTCTTTTTTTTAATCCTCAGTTCAGAAAAAAATACTGTTTCAATTAGGTGAAGTCCACATGCTAAGAACTACCTTTGCCTTGAAAATGTAGATTCTAGTTTTGGGGGAGGAAGGAAGAAATTTTTGGTTGCTTTCCAAATCTGAACTCTGTTTAGGACTTTGAGGGCTCTTCTAGGAAAATACTTAATTTATCTTTTCAATAACTGAGGATAACACACAGGACTTTGGTATTGGTTAAACTTGTGGTCTCCCTGAAGATTTGGTTTCCTAGAGTTTTTTTTTCGTAAGCTTTAAATCTTAGCATTTACTTTCTGAAAATGCTTTTGGGAAAACAAAATTTTTGAGAAGTATTTATAGGAAAAGGGTTGTATGTCTGTGTTGTAACAGTTGTTAGGTGAAGAAAGTTGCTTCTTCCTGTTGCCTTTTAGATAGTTCACACAGTGGAAAGTTCACATGTTTCATGAAGCATCGTATCATATGTACTTTAGTTTTAAGGATGTGAATGTGATGTTTCTTAGAAACACGTGCCACAGACTCTTAATAGGATTTTGCAATTGTCATCCAAGTGTCAGTAGATTTTGCCAGTGCTTGTCATCCAAATGCTTCTTAAATAAATGAAACTGTCTAGGATTAGAAGGTTATGCCATTTTCTCAATTCTTTCTTTAAAAATGATGCAAGGTTGGAAAACGTTTTGACAATATTAGTTGAGATGTATTATTAAGAGTCTTAAAGAAATTCTGGAAACAAAAAGCCACTTTCTGAACAAAATCTTGTTTTGCTTGGCTTACATACTGAATTAAAATTAAAACTTGTGAGTTAAATATGTTATGCTTTAAAGCAAGCTTCAGTGTAACTGCTAAATGAAGATGAGTATCTTAAGATTTATTCTAATATCAGTTTAGCAGTAAAACTGTAGATCCTCTTACTACTAAAGATGAAAACAGGACTGTGCAGAAAACCCGGAGAAGGTGGAATAGGCTTCTGCTGCTGGTTTTGTTCATTTCTGGGAGATATTTCCAACTACTTATCTTTAACACAAGAAAAAGTGAAAAACCACAATTTTCAGTACTATCCATTTGTAAAATTATATATGTCATCACAATTATTACAGAGAAAAGCTGCCATTATGGGTTTGGGGTTTTTTTATTCCATTATGGTATTTCTTTACTGAGGGTTGCTGCTAGACAGGTCAGCATCTGTCAACTGGGAGTGTTTAGTTTCTCAGTTTCTTGCAGTAGCTAGCACTTTGTCTTTGACTACAGTACTGCTTTCTTTTCTTGCTTCCCCTCTAAGCATAATTATGCTGCATAGAAGTCTAGTATGGTGCATCATGTCTGTAAAGCCTTTTTTGTCATCTCCTTTGCATAATGTGTTCTTTCAGTGCAAAGCTTTGTCCAGTGCAGGAGACAGTGTTTAACTGAGGGGAAGTATTAATAGCTACAAGCAGCTTTTTGACCTGGTGGCCCGCAGTAGGCTGCCTGGCAGGATTCCACCTTCTCCTAGGCTGGTGCAAAACGTATGGTGTGCTTGCTCATGGGCTTGCCTAACTGGAAGGTCTGGTTATATGGCTGTTGCTACAGCTCTGCTTGCCTCTAAAGCCTACATGGGTTTCAGCTTTCCTGTGTGGGAAGGGCTTTAATGCCAGCAGTCAGGATGCGGGACTGCGGCTGCCGTGTGCTGGGCTTGCCCCTGCACGGCTGGGGCTCCTCCTGCGAGCAGGGCACTTACACAGCCTCAGGAGCACACAGCTCACTGAACATCTGCTGGCTGGAAATACTTTATAAACAAATTAATTGCCCAGAGATCGAGTTACGTTTTTTAGACAAATTCAGATGACTTAGTAATCTACAAGGAAAGTATTAAAAAACTTTGAAATGTATTCCTGGAACTACTGTCTATACTAACACTTAAAATCTTATTTCAAGGGACATAGGAAAGAAACCAAGAGAGCTATCAGCCAGCTTCAGCTGCATACAGTGAAACGTGGAGAAAAGGTAATTAATTCAGTGTCTCTGGTTATTGCTGTAAGTTTTAAAAATGGTTGTAAAATCTTCAAAGAATTTAAACTAAAATTACCACTACATAATTGCAGTGTGACACAGTTTTAGGCTTATGTTAGGGTCTTTGTTTAAAAGGAAGAATTTAAAATTAAAGAGTCAAATTTGAACTACTTATGAAATTAAGGCTACTTTGTTGCAAATATCCGGTTATACAGAATGTATAAGGGGCTGGTATTGTAAAGATGAGGAAACATTGCTATCCTTTCAGCACTTGAAAACATCAACAAATGGATTGCAAAATACTTCTGCACAGTTCTTACAGCTGATGTAATGTTCTGTTTTCTTAAAAGAACATTCATCTTCTTACTGATCAGAAGGCCTTAAAAATATATAAACCTTTGAAAAATAAAACACTTGTTTAATCTTCTGACATATAATACATTAAGGAGCTGTGTAGGCTTAACCTGAAGCATAAAGTTTTTAAAGTAAATTTCTATGTTATGAAATAAAGCTAATGTAAAAATTAAAGCACCTTTCAGGAAGTTGGCTTTGACAACATATGGCCTAAACTCAGCTGTATTAGAATAACTGAAGTAGAAAAAGCCAACATTTTGAAAGAAAATATTTTAGTTGGAGTTTTGGGAGTGCTGATCCTAGATGCAAAATTAACTTCTGACTAGATTTTGGCTGCTACATAGGCATTTTTCCCCCCCCCAACCCTTGTGTTGGTGAGTTTTTATTTAAGGATTTACTTGGAGATGAAAAACAGAGATTACGTTATTTTTAAGTCTGTTAATAAAATTGAAGTGAGAGCAGCCATTGATACGTAAAAACTTTAAAAGCTGTGGCCCAGTAGAAACAATTCTGCTCAGGTCACGTGCTACAGAGAATATGTCCTTCATTTAGTAAATCAGTTTTGAATCTTAAAAAAATCCCAAAAGTGTCTTTGAACTTACTTGTCTTTTCCTTCTACGGTTTCAACATGCTTAAATAATGTTCTATGAATATTTCTTACTTTTAGATTACTTTTTGATGGAGTTTAGCATATATTTGAAGTTGTGAACAGAGGGATATTCATACATACCATGGTGACATCAGGGTTCAAAGGAGAAAAAGAAAAGAAAGAAGGAATTGAGCCCAAACTTTAGTGTAAAGCACCATCAGAGCATAATGTCAGCATAGGAAGAAAGGGACATAGAAGGGTCTCATGTTTAAGCCTATGTTAAAAACCCCACAGAAGATTTTAACAGCTTTTAAAATAGATGTTCAGTAAAATCCTCCATATAGGATTTGTATTGTGTGATTTTTGCAGTATACAGGGAGTTCCTTCCAATAGAGATCCTTGACTCCAAAGTAAATAAAATAAGGGAATTTGTTGTTTGACAGTATGCTGGTTATTCCTATGAGTGCCATGTTCATTAAGAAGAGTAAAATGAGATATGGTTAGAATCTCTCTGTTAAAATAGAGCTTTTCTCTGTGGTAAATCTCATCTTACTAATGTGATTTGAATCAACCTGCTATCAGCAAATTTATGTAACTTACTGATGCAGAGGTATTTTCATGAACTAATATAAATTTTTCTGGACATTTGTCCTGTCTATTCTGTAAATGTACATTTTTTCTTTAAATATTTCAGCCATTTAAAAAGAGTGTATTTATTTTGTTATGACACAGTATAGTCTTTCGTTATCCCCCACTTGAGGTTGAGATTTTTAACTAAAAATAGGTCATATATTAAAAGTGTATTTGCTATTATGTAGATTTTTCCTGAGAAGCTTACAGGATTATTGTAAAATAGACACTCATTTGAGTATGTACATATGGTGTGCTTGGATTTTGCCTCTCGTACAGAGTAAAAAATAACTTGTTATAGAATAAACACTTATCTTAATTTTGCTTACGTAAAAAAAAAAAAACAGTCTTAATGTGATTTACTTGGGAATTTAAGGCATTAATTGTGTAAATTGATAGCATGCAAAGGAGGGAAATACTGGCCTTGAACTCGAAAGTTTCCTTGCAGAACTAATTAGTTTGAATGTTTGTATTGAAACTGAAGCTCTTCAGTAAGTTGTAAATCAAAAATACTGATTTTTTGGGGATGAAAGCAGAGAAGTTTTCCCACTGTCTGTTCTTCTAATACTTATATTTTATACAGCCCAATTAATGTTGGATTATTTTTATTGTATTTTGAGCTATCCATCATATTTGCACTGCAACTTTAAGCATGACTTCAAGAAGACATTAAAACCTGTTAGAAAAGATATATAACCGTTAGATAAAAATAGAAGTGGGGAAATGATATTCTGTCTAGTGTGAACTTGGAGGAAAGTTTTAAACTCAAATTGCATGCTTGTGTTCTCTTCTGGCTATGAAGGGGAATATCTGCTAGGATGTGGCAGAAAAAAAGAAAAAGGTGAAGAAGAGTTGCAGTACTCAACTTCAAAAAAAATCTCTTCTTGCTCTTGGAAAACTTTAGGAGCGTACATTCAGAATTAGATTGTACACTTTGATTTGCGCTGACCTCTTTTAAAATGTTTTCATTTTATAGCTACTTTCAACTAAAACATTCCTGTGCTCCCATGAACAAAGCCAATGTGTGAGACTTAATGAATCACTTAGGATGCCATGCCTATTTAAATTAGAAGATCTGGGTTTGGCTGCTGTTAGTATTTGATAACTTGATCAAATCACCTCTTGATAGAATCTCGAATTAAATGAAGTAAATTTTTTTATTTGCTATACCATTTAATATATTTTGCATTCTTTGAAGCTAGCTGTTACAGAAAGCTTGTTCTGTAATGAAGTATAAATGTAATGCACTTAAATGTATTGTCGTATTTAGGGTTTAGATGTTGATGTAGAAAACTGTGCTGTGTGCATTGAGAACTACAAACTGAAGGACACTGTCCGAATTCTGCCATGCAAGTAAGTTGTCATAGTTATTCTTTAGTCTTTAAAATGTTTTTCTGAAGAAATGGGATGAATTTCCTATAAATTCTTCTGAACCTCTGGTAGCAGAGCTGCAGCTGCCATTTGTATGGCCTATTAAATGTTGAAGGGCACTGAGAGACCACATAGCACTTCATATGTAGGTGGGAGCAATTGGGAGAACTGTAGGGGTGAAGTAGAGCTTGCTTAAATTAGAACTGTACACCATTGAACTGGTAAATGTGTGGTGTCTTTGTGCTTATTAGCATCTCCTCTTCAGAAAGCTGGTATGAACCAAAAGGTTTCCAGAACCATGTCTGTACTAGTACATTGAGCAGCAGCTAATTGTCAAGATTATGAAGGAAAGTTTTATCTTTAATGTGCTAACTTGCACAGTGTTTGAAGGAGGGGCGTGTGGCTTTCATTGATAAGTTCTAAAGAGCATTTATTTTCTTTAGGCACATCTTCCATAGAACATGCATTGATCCTTGGCTTTTGGACCACCGAACTTGTCCAATGTGCAAACTAGATGTTATCAAAGCTCTGGGATACTGGGTATGTTGCACACTACTTTAATCTTCAAAGTAGAAGTCTAGGAGGCAAGACTTATGTAACTGGTCGGAATGAGAGCTGATGTTATTTGACAAGAGCCAAGAAGCTGGGCAAAGGTGCAATGAGTAATTGAACGAGCACCAGAAAAATAAGGGAATTTTATGGGTAAAAACTTAAACGTATCAAACAGCTTATGAATCTCCTTTGATAACCATTTTTTTCTATCTCCAGCTGATGATATTAAGGAATTTGAAGTAGAGGTGAGACTGTTTGCTCAGGCTGCAAAAATATAATTGAATTAAATAAATCTAGAATATATATTTGATGTTGTTGAGAATTGTGATTCGGAGGAAGAAATTATAGATTTTCTACATAGAATGTTTGTGTTCTACCTATGCCCCGTGATTTATCCCTGTAAATGAGCTGGTACTTAAAACCTTCCTAAAGACATTCACCAGAAATTGGTTAAGTAGAGAAAATGATGTGCTCTCATTTCTTTCTGACAGCACCAGAAAAGAGAGATGAAGACACATGCGGTAGGTTACTCAGTCAATGTCGATAAATAGTCTTGAGTTCCACTAAAATGCTATAGGCAAGAATGTACCTCTTATCTCCTACCTATCTACAGAGATCTATAGAAAATAGGGATGTTTTTTGGTTTCAGGGACTTTCCTTTCATAGACTAGGTCTGTGTTTTGACTACCTTTTCTCTTACTTTATTGCAGAGACTTACCAGATCTCTGGAAGAGTGTTATGAATTGTTTTGTCAAAGGAGACAATACTCTTGCTATGTAATATGTTTATACCAGATTTTGATGCTTCTGTGTATTAAGTCAGACTTTAGCTAGCAGTTGCAAACTTATTTTTATGTGGAATATCTATTGCTACTTTAATATTGTTATATTAGCAGCTTGGTTTCTGTTCACATTCAATTCTTGGGGTTGATGTATCTTGTGTTATATGCAGAAGGACTTATCTTTTTGGATACAGGCTGGAAACTGAAATACTGTAACCTTCATAATAATTATATTCCTCATATTTGTGCTGTGGAAGGGTATACTGGTACTAAGCCCAACAAGGAGGAGTAATAACTCCTCTGCTTGTTGGCTAAAATGACTTTTGGAAAGCAGATTGAGTGGGATTATATTAAATAGAGAAACCCAGCTCATTTTTCTAATGAAATGAGGCAAATGGATTCTGTGTATGCATCAATCGTTCAAGTCTCACTGAAGCTAATAATGTGGGAAACCATTCAGGAATTTTTTTCTAGCTTAGTTTTCAGTTTGATCCAGGTTGCCCAATCTAGTCTGTGAAGTGATTACCTGAATTTTTTTTCACTCATGTAAAGAAAAGCAGTGCAAAGAGCAAGGCAGCTTCTCTCAGCACTGCACTCTGAACCTGCAGAAAGGAATGTGCAGCCTTATTACAGAAATACTAAACCTTCTGCAGAGAGGCTCAAGGCTCAATTCAGTTATGGACAACAAATATTCCAAGTGCTTTTACGTTTTTAAAGGCTTGAAGTAGAAAAAGGGCACTAGGTCCTATGATGTGGCTTTTGTAAAGAGAAGACTTTTGTGTTCTAGTTATTCATTATGCTATTTTTTATGAAAGAAAGAACTGCAGTTCAGACTGATTTTGTAGAGCATTACTGAATTTTGTAGTTTCAGTGCTTATTTAACTTGTTTAAATTTTGGAAACCAAAATCATTAATGCCCACTCCCACCTGCAAACAAAAAAAAAAGTATCACATTTGTCTTGTGTTCAATTGTAGCATGTCTATAGCTCATTAAAATTCAGTACATTTTAAATTATGCTGATTTGATGCTAAAGAAAGAATCGCCCTAGAATTTCTTAAATTTTAAGATGGGCCTTTGCTAGTTGCTCGAGGAAGGGAAAAATACTTTCTAGTAAGCAAAAAAGAGTAGTCACTTAAATTGCAATGTATTTGCTTATGTATAAGTAACATCAGTGTATCTATGGCAATGAAGATAGTTTCTTTAATTGTAGAAACAGAACTGTACAAATAGGACTTTGATCCATTCTGAGAATTAATCCACAGTTGTATATCTCATGCTGTGCAATAGGTAAAAGATCCCTTTGCCTGTGATACAGATGTTGCATTCCTGCAAAGTGACAAGCCAGCATGTTTGTGTTTTTGGAACAGATTTAAAGTTAGGCTGGAGATAGAGGAGGAGAGAATTTGTAACCTTCAGGAATACTGTTGCTACAATGTTGAAATTATCCATCCAAAAGGCTGACTGAGTGGACTCTTCCTGTTGCTGCTCTTGGCCTTTGGGGTGGCTTTGGAAAAATGGCTTTTGGTTGGCTTTCTTTCTTTGCAGTCATACAGTAACCTTGAAAATTGACAATATCAACTATTCCCAGGAGTGCACACGTAATCGCTAAAAAAATGCTCTTTTTTCCAATAAGGTGAGGTTACAAAAGGTGACATGGAGGAATGTTGATGTCTGATGGTAGACAAAAGTGACAGTTAAATATGTTTAATTTTGAAGGGCGACCCTGAAGATGTACTTGAAGTTCCAATACCTGAATCCATAAGTGGCAGCGTTTCAGTCGGAAGTCTGAGTATTGCTTTGCAAGATGATGACAGAAACGAAGTGAGCGAATTGTCGGCTTCCTCCACTAATGAATCTGTATTGCAGTGTACCAGCTTAAAAGAGGATGCTGGGGAAACCACAGCATTGCTTGGTAAGTAATTTAGTGTTTCACTGGATAAACCTTAGCACTAGACATTGCATTAGTAGAAGCCTTTCTCTAGCTGGTGAGAACAGCTAGTACTGCAGTGCAGGGTGGACTGAGTGGTGTCACTACTGGTCTTCAAAAAAATACAAGCAGATTTTCAAAGCACTCTTTCAAGCTGGAAGTAACTGGACTTGGGAAAGAAAGATGTAAGCAGTGTCTTAAAAGGATTACCCAGAGAATCTTGAGAATCTTAGGTATATAGGAGTATGAAGTTTGTTGCCAGAGTGGATTAATGTAACAGATAAAGCATATTAAAATGGTGAAACAACAAACAATTTTTCTTTTAATTCCTGATTTCTAGATGTGGATGCTAGTAATAACCGGCATGGAGAACATCTATCTAATGGAAATTCCCACTGAACTGCTTCATGGACGATATCTTGAATAGACTGTTGAAGAACTATTATTTTTTATTTAATTAGTATGGACTTTTGTCTAGTGAACAAAAAAAAAATAACAATGTAAATTATTTTACCTTTCAAACTTTTCTAGCTGGTGTTCCAAAAGGGCTAATAACTAAGAATTTTGTACACAGGAGGATTTTATAAAATTTCCTCTGGATGTTCCAGAGGGCTGTAACAAAGATGAAGACTAGGCAGTGAAAATAATTTAGAATGGGTAACGGTTAAATATTTTGGATGCACTATTTACATTCAGTATGTATACAAAAGTTCTGATCTGTTGTAATTGGAGAGGAATATTCTTAGAAAAGACATTAACCTTCAAGGACTCAAATAACTTAATGGATATGTTATGTATCCTTTTCTTGTGATGGAAAAATTGCTGGTTGCAACATATAACAAATACTTTGTCTTGTAATGTGTTCTACTTGGAGTGGATGCTGAGAAAAGGAAACCTCCATCTTGCTAGCTTTTTATACTGAATTTGGCAGTAATAGGTTGTGCTAGGTGGTCTTCACGTGCTGAGCATGTAGACATTTAGTATATGCACACTGGTTACCTCTTTCAATCTTAAACTCAGTAGAACAGAGGTAAAGGGCTAATTATGGCTAAAATATATTTATTAGTCTATTTATAAGAATTTACATAATTTCTTCTTGCTCCTGTTCCCATCCTGACCCACTTTATGTACAAATTGAAACCATTTCTTAAGAAATACAAAGTTTAAGTTTGTTTTGCTTTTTCTTTTCCTTTGCATAGAGATATTGGAATTCTCTTGGATATTCCACATTAGGAATTTTGACTGGGTTTGCCACTAGCTTTTATTCCTTTCTTTTAGATTAGCAGTATTGTGCCTTATAGTAAAACACTTAAGAAATCTGAAGCATCTGAGAGTAAATATAAACCCTGGCATCTCCTATTATGACCTCTTATTCAAATATTTATATACTGTAAGTGGTATAAGGAATTGCTAAACTGTTTTGTAAAGAAATACGTGTATTTAAAACACTACTTAAAAGTGTTAAGTGAATTGTTTAGGATTTTAGCATTGTCATGTTACAAATAATATGCTACATTCCTTAATTTTCTTTTGTAAAGCTGTTGCTACAGATTGCTTAAAACGGTGTCTTTCACTAGACATTTGTTTTAGAGTGCATTTTGTTTTTAAAATGTATATTTGGAATGGTTTTAAGAAAATATGCAATTCTTTTTCTAACTTATATTGAGCTTCAGTAGAAGCAATAACTTTTTTTAATTTTAAAATGAATGTTCCAGAAATGACAGAGGGGGAAATATAATCAGAACTTCTACTTTGCAGAGCAGATGTTTCACCCTAAATTTTCTTCAAAAAAATTCCTGTTAATGCCTACTTAAAAAAAAAAAAAAAATCTGCCTCTTCCCTGTAGGAGTATAACTTTTATGTTTACTGGAAAACTGTCAGGTTGTAGTTCTGATGTCACCAGCAGGTGCAAGTTTTTGTGATGCCTTTATCTTACAAGAAGCACATGAGAATGGAATATGACTGACTGACCATCTCCAAAACTGAACAAATAAATAAACAACCCGCAACTAAACCAGACAATGTGTAGGGACACTTATGTCTCCAAAAGAAGCTTATCAACATTTCCAGAACTGCCTTTTTAACTTATTTCTTCAATATTAAAAATTAAGTCTTCTCCCTCTTCTTTAACACAAAACTGAACATTGATGCAGTAAATGTTGAGAGGGTTTAAACTCTAGCTCGAGGAGGAACCAAAAGAGAAGTTATCAAGAGAAGTGTTGTCAGTCTGTGGATTGTGTCTTGCTGATACCTACAGCACAGTATTCATTCTGGAGAGGAGAACTGTGGTAAGTACTTGAGCTTTTATGTAATACCTATAAAACCAGAAGCTTTTCTTAAGAATTAAATCTGAGATCTGGCAGAAAGCTGGAAGAAAAGCTAAGGAGCCTGTTAACTGAAAAGTGTACTAAAATCTGGTGTGTGCTGACTTAGGAAAATATCTGAGTGTGAAGTCTGTTTCATATGCTGGCACTGCACCTGTTTCAGAAAAACAGAGTTGTTTCAGTCAAATAGGTTTGCACATATTTGATCTCTGATATAGTTAGGTCCTGTGAGGTCAGCTGTGCTGCTGAGGAGTGATGACAATAAAAGGCCGAATTGCAGTGCCTCCAGCAAACAGTTTGCTCTCTCGGAAGCACAATGACAAAAATCACCCGAAGCGAATCACTAGTCTGACCTCAGTCAAAAAGCTGACATTAGTAAAAAGAGAGGTAGGATGGAAAGTACAGGGCAGGAAAAAGACAATCTAGGGAGCTTAAAACAGTAGCAAGAGAAGCTTAGAAACAAGAAGCATAGGACCTGCTGTTCCAGCTCATCTTATTACATTGAGTAAACTGGTATAAGCTGCAATAGGTGAATACAGGCTCACAGACTTTGCTGACCTGGATCTCCACTAAATTGGATCAAACTGGTACTCCTAGTTTCTAACACTTTACCTGTCAAAAGCTGTATGAAGGTCAGAACTAATGAGTGATTTTTTTCACCCCCTCCATGAATCATTTTTGTAGGGTAGGTGCCTCCTGAGTCCCCTTCCATTTGGGGAAGCTATAATCTGCCTCTGCTGCTTCAGCCATGTCCTGCCTGGTGTGGGAGCTGCAGCTGTGTGTGTTGTGGATTCCTGCTGCCTCCCCCTGCCCTCATCACTTTTCTCTTCCTAGCTTCACAGTTTTCATGAAACATGCAGGAGCTTGCCCTGGGCACCTCTGTCCCTTTGTTAGATTTTGCTGTAATCGGGCAAACTTCTTATTGGAGGCATTCCTGTGGTGTTGTACAAAAAGCTACATTGCAGAGCCCATGTGAAGTCTGAAGCCCCTCAGTGGTGATACTGAATAAATCACTTGGGAAAAATCCCTAGTAGGACTAGGGGATGCTGGTTTTTGTGGCCTAAGTTTTATTAGTGCTAATTGATATGGCTTTGCTTTTGCTACTGTTTCTATTTGCTGTTTCTATATTTCTGTATATAGTATATTTCTATACTGTTTGCTATTGCACTGTAAAATTAGGGAGAAATTTTGTGAAGTGATTTTTAATATTTTTTTAAAAAAAATATTAAACATTAACATGTCAAAATGAACTGCTGTCTTAAAGGAAAAACTGGAGGCCCCTCTTTGTTCAGAAATTTTGATAATTGATAAAAGACTATTGATAATAGTCTACAAATAAACTGGAAAAATCTTGGTAGTAAATAATTGTCTAAACTGTCTTTCAGACTTGATAGCAAGCAAAAATAAACCATAGACATTTCAGATCTAAAAGCATGTTAATGGTTTACTTACTTGCAGTACCAATTTAACTGGAAAGTCTGGATTTTCTTTTACTAATGAATGCTAGACTGAATAATTCTTTGAGTCTAAGCAATGCTTGGAGGAGATTCTTGGCATGTACTAGAGAAGATTGATAGGATAGCAGTAATTCCTTTCCCCTGCCCCTTATCTCCCATATTGCATATGTGAATGTAGTCCAGTAGCCTGTTGACAGTAATTTGGGCTAGATTTTGGAGGTCTACTGGAGGAGTTGCAGGATAATTTACCTACAGTGGAAATGCCTTTAATTCATCCTGACTTAAAGTGCATACCTTCTGCTTGAAGCGCATGTCCCTGCCAAAGCTGGCCTGTTGGGAATTCTGGTCCTGTTCAGGTTGTAACTGGCACAGAGAAACACCATTGCAACACCTTTGTCAAGTATGCAAAGCTGTTTTTTTTAATTACCTATTGATTGGGGAATGGTCATTTAGGTTTTTTGCCCATCCTGCAAGTTCCCTCTGCAGCAAGCCAGTTGTAGTTGGGCAGAGTCCAGCAAGACTGTTCCCCTGGGTAAGTTAAAGAGATGCAATTTTATAATAGGGCCATGGTGAATTACAGTTCCTGAAATGGAATATGTCAGCATAATTTTTTTTTTTAACTGGATTGCCTGTAAAAAATAGTAACGTGTTTGAGACTGGTCTTTACTGGATGTGTTCTTTTCTCTCACAGGTGATACATGAAGATTTGAGAATTGGAATTGATTAAACATGCACAAATCAAGCTTGAAGGCTTTTGGTTTTGTTCAGTATGGGTCCTGATCTCTCCTCAGATATCCTGCTGTATTGCAAAACTTGATTTAAGAAAGTTTTTAAAATAGAATGCCTTTATAATTGCATGTATTTGTGTGATGAGTGCATTGCCTGGGACTGTCCATTATACTTCCACTGGACCTGAAGCTTCTTTTCACCATCTGAAACATGGTAATGTTACTGCATTTTTAAATGAGCATATCCTTAATTCAGAAGAGCAAAGTAAGTTTCCATAATTTTGTTAGTCTAAAGCTTAAGTCCAAAACTTTGAAGCCACTTCCGCTATAAACATATACTTGGAGAGAACTATTTGAATTTGCTAGTCTGTCAAAAATTATTCACAAACAACTGTCTTTTATTGTAACCTTGAACTAATTCAGTTGCATTGTTTGGATTAAGCACTTGTGTCTTTTCCATTGTGTATGTACAGTTTTAAGAATGTGAAGTTATGCATTGTTGTTGTAACTTAATGAGTAAAAGTTCAAATTCCATAATAAATTATATGGACCTTTTAAAAAGCAACGTCTGAGAAGCTGGAGGGTTTTGTTTTCTTTGGTACACTTTGGAAGTGGATCTGAGACACTCGGCACAAAACAAGCTAACTTCATGCTGGGTAGCTACAGGGGAGAGCCTTTCAGCATGTGGTGCTTTCCCCATGTCATCAATACCTGGGTGGGCTGGGTTAACCTTGGCTGGCTGCTTAGTGAGGAGGGGGCTCTCTAAGCTGATACTTCTCCCTTCCATGGTGGTAGGATAGGGAAGCAGAGGGTGAGCCTGTAACAGGTGCTCTCTGCTTTCCCTCCTCCATCCTGACCTCCTTCCAAGGAGCTGCCCTTCTATAAGAAAAGAACTGCTTCAGTGTGGATTATCTCCATCAGGTATAGACCACTCCAGGGTTATCCCTGAGCTGCCACAAGCCTGGCTCAGGGGGCTCTGCTCTGCCAGCTTGTCGTGCATGGGTCGGGAACAGGGCAGCCTTGGCCTCTTCTCACAAAGGACACCCTGCATTTCCCCAGTACCATAGGGTTCAAATTAATGTCTGACATAAATGATAATATGATAAATGCATTTTTTTTTTTTTATAAATCCCTCATCCTTGGATTTGTCACAGAACTATAAAAATTACGTGTATCAGTACAACTCAAAAAAAAAAGGTGCATAACAGCTCAACTTTGGCTGCAGTATCACAGTAGCAACCTTTGTGGGCGGAGGCTTAAATTGTTTTTAACTAATTCTGTAAATCATAAAGTAGATAGCAATAACTTTAACCAGTAGTAATCATAATTATATTGGAGCCTGTTACTTCATCATAGTACTGCAACTTATGTTCCAATATATGTATATTTTTAAAGAGGGCTACTACAACACAGAATAGAGTCAAATTTATCAAATCAGCTTTAGTAGTTAGAAAACATTAAAGTATGATTTTAAACTAGCTTGTAGTTGCCACAAAAAATGCCTGATAGCAAATGTATTTGGTTTGGAAGCAATGTCTACAATTAGAACAGACCTTAAATAAGTGTTACTTTACTTGACCTAATACATTTTAACTGGAAAGCTGCACTAGTCTAACCCCTAATGACTACAGAACACTTCTTCCAGCACTTTTTACTGAAAGATTATACTAAATGAGACAAGAGATTGATGGGATTTTCAATCCAAGCACTTTCACATCTTAAATTACTTGGAAAAAAAAAAGCCAAAAAACTGTCTTTATTTTGCATTATTGATCTGTTTCCTAAAAATTTGAGAAGCAGATTTAAAACAGCTTTCATTTAGCAAGCAACATTAAATTAGAATTTGTTAACTTTCCAAGTTAGTTTCCTTTTCAGTCACAGGGTTTAAATATAACAGCAGCTACTCTAGTATCAGCTTAAAATTATAGTTCAGTAGACTCCATCCCCAGCTTCCCCAATACCTGGCATCTAACGTGAAAGCTACTCTGCCATTGTGCTATAGAAGAGGCTATTTAGTTTAGAATATACATAGCAACTGCCCATGCAAATTCAGAAGTGAGAAGAGATTGAAGTTTTTTTTATTTTTATGGAAAAAATGTGACCCTCTTTCCTCAGTGGAACATTTTTACAAGCATGTAAGGTGTGGTATTTCATCTGCTGCTGGCATGATTCTGAAAATACTCAGTGGTCTTGGTAGGGAAGAGTACTGCTCTGAGACTACAGCACGCAACTTCATTTCTGCCTTGTAAAGACAGGCCTTTAGCTGTTTCTAGCCATCAAGACAGACTTTCCCCTTCTCACCAAAACCAGAATACATTGTTAGGAGCTCTATATCCAGCTCCTAGACGATCATACACGGTGAACAAAAGGTAAAACAAGGAACATACTTACCTTGGAACAAGTTGACTTTAGTTATATACAGACAATTTTGGACCCAAAGTCAGTGAGTGCCAGATTAATACTTAAATTTGCTGTGAATGCTAAGTATCATTTATATTCTCTCTAGAACTAGAGCCTGAATTTCAGGATATGCATATGACATACAAATTTTAACCACAGTGAAAAATAGTGTAAGGCCTAACACATTTTACAAACTCAAATGTGTATCAGAAAAAGCCTTATTTATTGTCCAAAATGCTATTTATAATGTAATTAACATAATACATAATTAATCCAGGGATTGAAGTTTAAAATGTACAAATAAGTGGTATAGAACAGTCATAGGAGTTTTTTTTGCCACTGACAGTCACTTTATTTTGACATTTTTGTTTCTGATGGATTTTCCCCAGTGTCCAGTGTCTTCAGCAATCTGAAAAGGCCAGCTGCTTCTCGTATCCGACTGAACTCAATGCAGAATGCTTGCACTTCTATAAACAAGTCCTGTACATTAATAATTTTGTTTCTGATTAAAGACTGAAGAAAGACACAAACAAGACGGACCAGGCGGTTCTGAAACATAAGAAAGATGGTTTAATAATCCAAGCAAATGTTTGCAACCAGATCAGTTAAAGGACTGTTGGCCCTCAGCAGTACAAGTGAGGTGTTTCAGGAGCAGTTCAGCTTCAGCAGTTACTGTGTTCCTAAACTTTGTACATGCTGCTCTTTCTCTTACATTTCCCATACCACTATTATATTTTAAAAATTGACTGCTTTATAGTTCTTATGCTTCTGGATGCAGGAGCCTTCTCAGGATTAATCCCATGCACAAATGAAGCACCAGATCTACCTATCCACTGTTCTTAAAATTTATTATGTAATCTCTGAATAAAGGCATATAAAAGATAATAGCTAAAGATTATGTCAACATGTCAGTCTTGCTTAGTCTTATTTTCTACAGTAACACCATAAAGAAAATAGAAAAAGTTTCACATTTCAAAATTTCTTATCACCACTTCATCAAGGAACCCCAGATAGGAAGTGACATCAACTGAACTGATTCCAAACTTCCTTCATGGAATGTGCTCTGCTGCTGAATCAACAGATGACCCTTTTGCTCTGTATTAGAAGAAAAACAATTGCAGGGACACCTAATCCAAGAACTCATGGCTCATTTCCTGCCTGATCCAGTGAAAAGACAGGATCTTAAAAGTGTTCCTCTTTCTTAAGACCTACTTAGGCAACACCTTGAAGAGCACAATGGGAATTTGAAGTGAAAGCTTAGGAACTGGCACTTAAAATTCGTCATACACAGACCCAGTCATCAACCATCTGTTCAACACAGAGCGCATTCTTCCCAAGCACAAAACCAGGTCTTCATCATTAAAGTGCTTTCATACTTCACATTGTGAGAAAGGCTTGCATTCAACTCTTTCTCTAAAAGCAATTATATATGTGAACAATGTTTACCAGACAGAATCGAGGGATGTGACAGATTAAGTGTCCAAAGCATTTCAGATTATTTGACACTGAAAACAAGGTATCAGCTATTTTTCCAGGAACTACGCTTATTACTGCAAAATTTGCTACTTATAATGAGAGAATTCAGAGACTGAACAACTTATTTCCTTCACTGTGATCAAGAGGCATCACATGCTTTCTCTGCAACACAAATTAGTTACATGAGTAGTTTTAATAATCCAGGAACATGAAACTCGGCAAAAGAACAAATGCAAAATTACTGGCTGACTCCCAGTCTCTGAGGATCATTTCCAATAGTAATTCTGTACCATGCTTTTCAAACAAAACATCTTGTGTCTCAGCTGCTGTGAGGCCCCATACACATTAAAAATGTTAGATGTCAAGCTGTGTGTGCTGCTTAGTGACCAGGATATGTTTCTTGACCCTCAGAGCTCTTTTTTGTTCCCTGTGTGCTGAAGCACAGCTACTATGTGGTCTCAGCAGCCCCACTGAGCAGTGTCCCACTCTGGACATACTCTCAGCTGCAGCCCAGTTCAGCTGCTATTTTCCTACTCCACTACCAAATGTAATAGGCAGAGCTACTCAGCAGGTCACAGATCAAGTCACCCATGTGTGTGTGTCTGGCAGAACCACAAAGCAGAGAAGCATCAGCAGCCACCAAAAGATAATACATGAAATGTCATCTGAAAGGGATTGAGAACATGGGGGGCTTGCTGCTATCTAAAACCACGTTTCAATGCTATTCTGTGCACACAAATTTAATTTTTGTAGCTTAAGGAGACAATAGAGCTGGAGAAGACACTAGAGGATACCAAAAAAAGCTTAAAGGGAAAGGAACAGTTGTCTTGCTGCAAGAGACTAAAGACATTCTAGTCCTTCAGTATCAGGAAAAAGCTAAGGTAGGACTTGGGATTCAAAAAGCCTAGGAGAAACTGAATACAGAACTGTTTTTCACCAATGACATACCCAAGAAAAGTTGTACTAGGCACCTGGTGAAACCAACAGATCAGTTTAGGAGAGAAGAAAGTACCTCTCACAGCATGTAGACCTTCTGAATGCCAGAAGGGTGCAGACCTCCTCAGGTTTCCCCTGACCCTCCCTGGTCAGGGATCCTTGGAGCAGCTACAATTTTTTCAGTACCAGCATGCAAGTATGACAGGCTTGAGAAGCAGAGAGCATGGTGTTAGAAATGAGATCTGCAAGCTGTTATCAGTCATGACTGAAAGGGGAGACTTCCTTGTGAGTTTTATAACATCACCTCAGGGGTCTGGAAGTGGCTGGCACACTTGGTATAGAAGAGAAACTTGAAGCTTAAAACTAAGCCGAATGCAAACTAATACCGGGGGTGAAGAAAAGGCTCACAGAGTGATAGATGAACCTTTTGAATGTAAGAACCCCAGTCACAAAGTTTTGCCAGGAAGAAGCTTATGATGTCTACACAGAACAACAGGGAACAGTGATTTCCTGTGAAATCTTTTTTAAAAAGTGAAGAACTGTCTATTAAACTCTGTGAAGAATTGCAGTGTGTTTGGCAAAAAAGTGCCTTTGAAATAAAAAAGCAGCAAAACAGAACATTTAATGCTATCAGCCTTATTAAATCATAGCACATATTTCACAGAGCATTATATGGGATACCTTTTCCTAACCAATTTATTGAAGCACTCACCTGCATATATTTGTCTTTAATCTGTTCACAGGTGGAGATACAATTGGAGATATAAAGATGAATAAATTCAGGTGGGAGATCAACTGCAGTAGTAAGCCTGTTCAAATAAAATATATTCAGTGGTTTATGAAGCCATAAATCTAGTGTTTCTGTAGCAAAGCAAATCCTAACAGTTAGACCTGTGATATGAGTTAATTCCCAGACAGCTTCCAGACATATTTCTAGTCATTCAGATTTCTTAAGAATAACTTTTTTTAACTCTGATGTTACAGAAGCTAAGTTAGATTGGTTTCTAGTACATCTGGCATTTGAGTTGCCACTGCTTCTTAACCAAGAGGGCAATACAGCTCTCTTAAGATAAGAACATGCACTAAATGGAGAACTGCCACAAGGTTGTAACAGAATCTGACCAAACTCAAATCAGTCCTATCTGAAGGAGCCAAAGGGGAACAATAGGGAAAACAGTGAAGATTGGAGTTTCAAGTGGTTTCAATTTTTTGTCTTATTTCCCTTTACAATCATCATCAATGACAGCTGCTTTGCAGCCTGATGAAAGTTGTTCCTGTGGTAGCTATGCTGTGGGAGAACCAGCATGCCTGACTGGTGGTGTAGCTCTCCTGGACACAGGTAAAAACTCTTCTTTTACCACCCCTTCTGCATGTTGCAATCATTAGCCCCACTTCAGGGCAGTAACTGCTGTCAGTCTGCACCAGTAGGGAGGCATTTATTTCAGGAATGTTCCTTTAGTAAGAAGATATTTAAGGTGCAATTCAACTGCTTCAAAAAGTCTGCTGATTGAGGTTTATTTAGTAGCTCACATTCAGTAATTGCTAAGAAATAGAAGAAAGTAAGTGGAAGAGATGTATTTCTGTAAATTTCTGGGAATTAGCTGTCTGAAAAGCTTTCCCATTTAAGGGGCTAGTATTCTGTTAAGAAAATGAGTTGTACCTATCTGCAAAAATTATTCTCAATGAAAAAAGGACATGAATGTACAGCAGGGCAGCATTGAACAACAGCACCTTTTGTTTGCACCTTAAGCTGCATCAAGAATGCAAGCTGCATTGAACAACAGCACCTTTTGTTTGCACCTTAAGCTGCATCAAGAATGCAAGCTGCAATTAAGCAGATTAGCCATTTGCGGAGGATTCTCTCAATAACTGCCCTTTGTCCCACTGTAGTCTTCCATCTCCCACACAGACACGCCTCAAGAAGGATCAAAATTAACATTTCCAGATAATAATAAAACAAAACTGCTCATTTTACATACTCAATGAAACCTTATTAGATTTTAGATCGTACGCACCGATTTACAACTTCCATTGAATGTAAGGACATGTCCATGTTGACCAAGACAGAAAAATACTCTGTTATTTGACTAGACTGCATTAGTTTCAGCAACATTTCTATAGCTACTAAAGGATTGTTTTCAACCAGGTCTGGCAATTTGGCAGGAGTGAGACCAATATGGTAAACAAGCTTGGGGTCTTTTTCCAGTTCTCCAAGGAGCTGTGAAGAAGAAAATAAAAATTGTCAGTTGATTTTACCTCAACTGTTCATATTACTGCTTGAAAAAACTGCTATAATACATCTAAGATCCAGAAGAATGATAGCCCTTTAGATTTAGGCTTCTCTGAAGCATTGGAGGGCTACTTTAAAATTTTTATGTACAGGCAACTGTGTCTGTCCATAAAACCTTTACTAATGCATTTAGGAGTCTTTCATCAGTGGGTAGCAAAGAAGGGAGTTAAAATTCCACATGAAAAGTTTCAGCCTCCTGTAGTTTCCTGTCCAGTAGAAGGAAATCTCAATTTCAAGTTCACTTGGCAGAAAAAGTAGGGCAAATAAAGCTGATTTTATAGTGCCAGCATGATTATGAAAAAAGCCCACTGAAATCAGGGGTAATACTATCAAACTGAGGGAAAAAAAAATTGTTGTTGGTATTTCTGAAGTAATTATTTATTAAAAACTTTCTCAGAAGCACAAGCAACTTAGTTATACAAAGATTTCTCCACACAAAAAATGTCAGTGCCACTCCTGTTCAACTGTAATTACATCCAGTCAATGGTATGAACATTATCTTTCTATTCAGACAAACCCAAGTCAAAATTCTTGGATTTTTGCAATTTAAAGGTTTCCTGAATCCAAACACAGATCAAAGTGCTCAAGGTTTTCTAAAGCTCAGGAGTTAATAGTTTCTTAGAGAATCAGTTCAGACAGGCAAATCCATCATCCTTACCTGTGTCTGCTGTGGGGAAGTCAAAGGACTTTTAAAAGCTTTTGCCATGATTCTTTTTATCTCAACTCCAGTGCTGTTCTTAACACACATTGACTTATCCCACTGAATTGTGTGATCTGGTTCAATTGGATTTAGCCATGCCAATTCATCCTCACATATATGGAGTGGAGGCGGTGGTCGAATAAACTCAGGTCGAAAGTGACCTAAAATGGCAACAATGTGAAATATTTTCTTAAGCTTTGGATATTCAGTTCTGTATCAGTAAAAAACAGAAGACACCCCAAAAGCCCCTATTTCTTTAAGCTATTGTAACACTGAGAACAGCATTACAATCCTATTTGCCACCCGGAAAAACATTTATTTATGATTTTCAGCGATACCATTATATTTGCCTTTTTTTCCTCTTGATTCAGATCACTGTGTTACTGATCCTGTGGTTTTTTCCTTTCCACACTACCTGCTTCCCTGGGAAGTGTTACCAGCCAATGCAGATCTCAGTGCAGGGACTCTTATTTGTTATTTGAGAGATGACATGGGTGAGGGCTTGAAGACAAACTCCAGATTTCTCAAAGTCTGTAAATGTGAACACTAGAATCTGATCTAGAGACAGACTGATGAAATTTCACACTTTTCATTTCATTTCACCTTAACTTCCATTTCATGCCTTGAAAATACTTCTGAATTCCATTACATTTTATCTGAAGTATAATAACACAGCCTGTTATGAGTTACAGAAACAAAGATGTGTAATGAAATGCACATACTTTCTATAGGAGGCTTTGGTCCACTCACTAATGCTTCTGTGATCTGGGAAGCAACAGAGCTATCAAAACCAGAGTTGGAAGAATCTGGGTCAGGATCACTGAGAATGCTGGGGAAGCTGGCCTTGCTCTGTGTTGGCAACTCGGACTGACGTTCTGAAAGAAGAATATTAAACCATAAAATTGGAACAGAGATGCCTGGAATACTAAAAGTAGTGGGAAACAATCAGCTTTAGAAAAGAACTGGCTTTAAAAAAAAAACAAAGCAGATAATACCAACATGAAATTTAGTACAGTCAGGCAGTCAGCAGTCTGAGTGCCAGCTGACAGGCAAGACACAGAGGGTATGCAATAAGGATAAAGAAGAAATAGATGTTAGTTAGTCTGAAAAGTAGTCTTGTCCTTAGAAAAGGCACATAACTGATGTAATCTACATCTAAAAGCAGCACATTAGTAGGTTTGCATGCTACTCCTCAAAGAGTTCACATGGCTGTATCTCATTTGTAATCACTTCTCAGAGAAGGAAAGTGAAAAATCTACAATGATCCATTTGCAGATGATAATGGTCATACTAGACCTGAAGTCAGCTATTCAAATTTACCCAACACATTTCTGTGGCATTGCCTGAACTCCTTGCAGATTCACTGTCAAGCCAGAATCAGTAATTTAGTGCAAAACAATGGAGTTTTAATGGTTACATGATTCTACAGACATCATCATTAAAGCAAACCTGAAAGGAGCTAAGTCATCCCTTTAGAGGCCAAATTACAGAACATAAACAAGTTACAGAAAAATAACATTAAGGTTAGCATATATACAGCTGAAGACTTGAAATTGGCGAAAAAGGAAAATACAGGCCTCATTGTTTGCACTATCAAGATTTTTATGTGCCCTTCTGTCAATAATCTATTGCTCTTCTGTGTCTGGAGACTTAATGGCTGATCTTCTATGTTCTCTGTACTATTTTGAGAGATCCTGTTTTCTATTGCTTTGGCAAAGAAAACTCCAAAGGACAAAAAGAAAAATCCCCACTACAGAATACCACTTAACATTCCTCTCCCCACCCTGTTAACAGAGAACACTAAACAGCAGATTACGCCTTAAGCAATCTGAAATCCAAAATTGCTGGTACCACACAAGAAATCCTTTGAAAAAGTTCCAGATGAAACTAAACACCACTCCATTTCCTGGCTAATTGAGTGCTCATATTTTGTGCACCTTAACACTTCTAAGCAAAGTGTTACTTTGCTCCTTTTTGTGCAAACATGTCACAAAGCTCCTTTTTTTGCAATCATGTTGACCCTTCCCAGCTGCCCACATACAAACTATTTCATATGACTCCAAACAAATGTGCAAGAGAGGCCCAAAACTGTGAGTGACAAGAGCATAAGGAGAATAAAGCTGTTAATTTTTTTTGGCTTTTTGTCCTACTTTATCCAACTGTTTCAGATAATGCAAACATTTGCATATATCCTCACTGAAGCAGCACAGCAGGGTATATTTTTCTACTAAATTTTCTATTAATTTCTATTAAATTTCTATCAATATTTTCAGTGATTTAAAAAACAAAAACAAACAACATTTTAAAGGCGAAGTCCAAATGAGCTGTTTTATAAAACATATCTTCTACTTAAGCAACTATTTCAAACTTCATCTCATAAGTACTTTCATTTAGCCCCTGAACAGAAGGGTTGATTTAACAAATGAAGTACAGGAGTCGGGGAGAAGCATTGGGTGTCCTTTTTCTTTCTTTTCATTTAACTTAAAACTTAAATCCATCATCAGTCACGGATTTGTTTGTAACCTCATAATCTGAAATTACTAGTGATGTTAGATAAGATGATTAGTGATATTTCACTTCACTGATTTGAGAAGCCTGCCTGAGCCCTCAGTTATATGCATTGAAGCTCAGAAGTTCAACCTCACTGCTTCAAGGGCTAAACCAACAGTTTCAGATAAGCAGAAGTAAGAATTACAACATGGTGATTTAACAGAAACTAATGTAGCATCTTCAACTAAGACACTTAAATTTTACAAAACTAAACTGAAAACAATTCCTTAGGTTCCTTTATGGAGCTTATTAGTCTATTTTTACACATAAAAAGAAACTTTCTTTGATTCTTACAGAAAGTTCTGCATGTATTAAAAGCATTACTTTCATACAGGTCAATTACTCCCCCATCAAATAAGGGTTAACAGACAAACACTGAGAACACTTCGTGAGGAGACCAATCCTCACAACTAGGAAAAAATTACTTTTTTTGATAGGGTAGCATACCAGATGAACAAAAACATGTTGTGGGGCAGTACCAAAGTCTGAATTAGCTCTCTGCAGACCAAAGGGAAGAGAGAACAGAACAAGTGTTAACACTCATGGCCAAGATGCTAGATTCCAGCATTCTATTTTTTTTTTTTTTTGGGGGGGGGGTGGTGGTGGTAAACCTTAAAAACAAAAAAGAAAATCAAAAGCAGAAAACCCACCATAGAGTTGCAAACAAATTGTCACAGAGAGCTCAGATTCAGAAGATAAGTGTTTTTCTTTTTTTTTTACAAAAAAGGGATTGGGACAGATAAACTGATAGGAAAAAAAATTAAAAGCTTTCAAAATAATTTCATTTGATTTTGCAGGTATGTGCTAAAGCAAGTCAAAATCATTCTGCTCTGAACAGCCCTGAATTAATCTCAAGGACCATACTTTTGAAAAGCTACCAAGTGTTATAGCTGTGACATTCTGTACATCCTGGGGAAAGGATGTAAACAAAACACCTCAAACATTGCATCTTAGTGTTATCCTGCACCAGCTTCATCCTGCATATTGAATCATTAGGAGAAATATTCTGAAGATTAGTGAAAAAATCACAGACATTCCAAAACACAACAAACAGAAGAAGCATCATGATTTTAAAACAAGTAAAAGATTTATCTTTTAAGAAACTGATTAGAAACCAGACAGTTATTCTAGGGACCTGCAGCAAGAAGTCTGAGAAAGACAGCACAGAGCTTTTTCAGATGCAGCTGGTTTTGTTACATAACTTCTACAACTGCTTGTAAGCAATTGTGCACTTTTACTGGATTATATAAACAATGATATAAATCTTATACAAGCACCATTAATGACTTTGTATTCTACTTTCAGCCATCATTATCTTCTATTTTAAAGCAAAGTATGTGGCCTAGAGCACGCATTCACCCAACCACAGTTTTGAGGTTGCCCAGAGAAGCTGTGGATCCCCATCCTTGGAAATGTCCAAGTTCAGGCTGGATGGGGCTTTGAGCAACCTGGTCTATTGGAAGGTGTTCTTGTTTTATGGTCTTTTCCAATCCAAACCATTCTGTGATTCAATGATTTAATTTTTAATTAGAAAAAACTATTCAGAAGGCAAACACAGTACATAGGAGAAAACAAAAGCAAATTAAAAAAAACTTTGAGGCTTCTTAAGGCATCACATATGCCTTGCACTAAAAATGACAAGTTACCTGAGGCTTCACAAAATTTGAATTCACTAAGGTATTCTACAAAATACAGACAGGATGAACGCAAGAAGGACCAGAAAAGTTTGTCTCACCCACAATGGCACGTTAGGGTATTCAATTTGCATTTTCAAACAATTTCCCAGTCTGGAAATAGCAGCTAAGGAGGACCCCCACAAGACATCTGTAGACTGTGAACAAGGGACAGTATATCACAGCTTTACCAGTCAATGTCAGAGTCCACAGGAAAAAAAAAAAAAAGACAATACCAAGATACAACTGCAGGACACAGAAAGTCTAAATGGCGCCTGACAAATCTGACATTGTACAGATATAGAACTGGGATGGTCAATTTTCAAGCAAGCAGGTCTACTGGCACATACCTAGGGAGAAAGGAATTTTGTGTTTAAACTGGTTCCTTGTTCCCAACAATATATAATATTTCATATTAGCTCCAGATGTGACATGAACAATCATGTTCCTCCTCCTGTTCTCCTGTCAAAGGATAAGCATCACATTGCTTTTCTTTTCAAGCTAGTATCACTTTTCAGCTCTTGAACTAACACTGCACAGTCTAACTGTACAATAAACTAAAGATATAATTCTAATAGTCAATTTTCCACGTACAGATGAAGTACTGATATGTAATAGTAGTGCGACAGCTATGTTTGTTCTCTCATAAAAGAAATACTGCAAAGGGTGAAAAGGGATGAAAATACAAGAAAAGAAAGAAAACCACACAAGTAATTAAAATAAAGCAAATGAAAAAATCCACCAAAAATATCCCCCCCCAAAAAACCCATCCCTAAAAAACCCCACACAGCTTTAGAAGACAAATTTTCCTATACTTGCAAAATATTCCTGTATTTAGGGCAATTACATATATGCCTAAAAAACTACTTGTTAAGGAGGATAAAAGAATCAGGATGTAATCTCTGCCTGAAGTTTCTCTAAGTGCTTGAACACAGGCTTGAAGACCTTAAAGCACAGTTCAAACTTTTTCATATTCAGGACAGACAGGTGTTTTTTCTCAGGTAACCCACAGTCAAGTTCCAATGAGAGTTTCCATTCCTAAGAGCACCAGAGCCACAAACCTTCCTTACCTGCTAATGCCAGCTGCAGCCCACTGATGTCCACTGACTGGGCCATGTTCCCCACATCCATGGCAGCGATCTGCCGAGGAGTCTTCTTGAACAGCTCTCTAGGAGGGGCCAACATCAGTTGTGAAAGAAAGAATTTTTCTGGAGGAGTTATGGGAGGTAAGAAGCCTGTGGAGACACAGTGAAAAACAATCCGTGGTTTTTAATGTAGGAGCATTAACAGTTTCCATGCTCTTCAAGTATAACAAGCAAAACAAAGACAAATTAATCTGTTATTTATGGCAAGGCAGGTGCAGCTGGAGAGTCTGTGTGACACATACAAAACCATTTTAATGCAAAATACACTACTATGTGATCAGTATTACACATCATGACATGCAGGCAGATGATGCTAAGTCACTCATGGTAGTTCATTCACACAAATTCCAATCCAGACAGAAAGCGAGCTATTTAGTATGACCTGGCATTGCAATTCACAGACTCAGAGAATGACCTGGCTTGGCAAGGACCTTGATCACCATCAGGTTCCCACCCCCTGCCATGGGCAGGGACGTCTGTCCCTAGACCAGGGATGCTCTGAGCTCCATCCAACCTGGCCTCGAACACTTGCAGGGATGGGGCATCCAGTTTCTCTAGGTAGCCTGTTCCAGTGCTCCAGCCCTCCAACCAACCTGGTGGCCCTCTCTGTAGTTTTCCAACAGGATATTTTTTTTTAGGAACTGCTTTACTCAACACTGCTAGTGTCATCTTTACTGGATAGGAAAAAAAGTGTTTCACTGTCATGTATTTCTCTCTAACAGTGTTGTTTCAGTTTTAAGGCTGTTGGAAGCCTCCTATCACCTCCAGCTTTTTGTGATGGCTTTCTCAAAAAAATTTCCGTGTTATTACAGAACCGAATAGGTTGGAAAAGACCTCTGAGATCATCGAGTCCAACCTGTGACTGCATATCACCTTGTCAACTACACTGGGAAACTAAAGGCCATAGCCAGTCTTTCTTAAACACCTCCAAGGATGGTGACTCTGCCACCTCCTTGGACAGCCCATTCTAATGTCTAATCACCCTTTTTGTGAAGGAATGCAAGCTAAACCTCCAGTGGCTCAGCTTTACGCTACCTCCTCTTGTCCTGTCTGGTTGCCTGGGAGAAGAGGCCGACCCCCACCTGGTTACAGCCTCCTCTCAGGCGGTTGTAGAGAGCGAACAGGTTTCCCTCGAGCCTTCTCTTCTCCAGGCTAAGCAGCCCCAGCCCCCTCAGGCAGTTGCAGAGAGCTGTAAGATCCGGGCTAGCGGCCTGGCCGACACCAAGCCCAGAGCCGCTGGCCGTGCAGGATTCCCACCGCTTTCTCCGGGAGGG